AAATTGAGGAGCAGAGGAGAGGGCACAGAGGTAGAAGCATCATGATTCTTCTAGTGTAGGAGTTGCCTGTACTAGAAATAAAGAACTAGGCCAGGCACTGTGGCTCACGCCTGTAATCCTAGCACTTTGGGAGGCTGAGGCAGGTGGATCCCTTGAGGTCAGGAGTTTGAGACCAGCCTGGCCAACATGGTGATCCCTGTCTCTACTGAAAATACAAAATTAAAAAAAAATAATAATTAAAAGATAAAAATTCAAAATTAGCCAGGCATGATGGCCTATGTTGGTGATCCCAGCTACTTGGGAGTTTGAGGCAGGAGAATCGCTTGAACCCGGGAAGCAGAGGTTGTAGTGAGCTGAGATAGCACCATTGCACTCTAGCCTGGGTAGCAAAGCCAGACATTGTCTCAATAAAATAACGTAAATAAAAATACAAAAATTAGCCTGGGCGGAGGGGGTGGGTGATGGTACATGCCTGTAATCCCAACTACTTGGGAGGCTGAGTCAGGAGAATCACTTGAACCCAGAAGTGGAGGTTGCAGTGATCTGAAATTGTGCCACTCCACTCCAGCCTGGGTACCAGAGGGAGGCTCCATCTCAAAAAAAATAATAATAATTAAAAGAGTAGGAGGTGCCGTTGAAGCCAATAAAAATGGAGCAGCCAACTCAATGGCAGCAGGTGTGAGGTTCAGAAAGATAATGTGGCTAGAGAAGTGACTGTGAGATGCTACAACATGAGGATTGTCAGTAGCCTTGACGAGAGCAGAAGAGTGGTGTAGGCAGAAGCCAGGCTGGCTTATGTATACTGAAGAGTGTGTCGGCCATGAGGAAATGGTGATGCTGCTTCAGTTTATAAAATAATAAATTATTCAATTAAGCCTTTTTATAAAATCTGCAGGTTGAATCTAGTTTGATAAGTTTCCCTCTCTTCTTTTTGGCTTTCTCGGTGTTTAAATACTCCCATATTCCCAGCACTTTGGGAGGCCGAGGCGGGTGGATCACGAGGTCAAGAGATCAGGACCATCCTGGTCAACATGGTGAAACCCCGTCTCTACTAAAAATACAAAAAAGTAGCTGGGCATGGTGGCACATGCCTGTAATCCGAGCTACTCAGAAGGCTGAGGCAGGAGAATTGCCTGAACTCAGGAGGCGGAGGTTGCGGTGAGCCGAGATCGCGCCATTGCACTCCAGCCTGGGTAACAAGAGCGAAACTCTGTCTCAAAAATAAATAAATAGGCCGGGCGCGGTGGTTCAAGCCTGTAATCCCAGCACTTTGGGAGGCCGAGGCGGGTGGATCACAAGGTCAAGAGATCGAGACCATCTTGGTCAACATGGTGAAACCCCGTCTCTACTAAAAATACAAAAAAAATAGCTGGGCATGGTGGTGCGTGCCTGTAATCCCAGCTACTCAGGAGGCTGAGGCAGGAGAATTGCCTGAACCCAGGAGGCGGAGGTTGCGGTGAGCCGAGATCGCACCATTGCACTCCAGCCTGGGTAACAAGAGCGAAACTCCGTCTCAAAATAAATAAATAAATAAATAAATACTCCCATATTTGGAAAGTGTCTAGTGCTTCTTTAAAGATTGAAAATGGGTAGATGTTGAGTGATCTAAGCCAAATGATCCTGGGATCTTCCCACATCAGCTTCTCGGAACTGGGAAACTTTTAACTAGCTAGACAGAACTAAAGTACCATCTTCATCATCTCTCCATGACCTAGCACTTACATTCTTTGCAATAAGTTGACATTTCTTTTCATATAAATGTATAGGAAAGAAGTATCTTGCTCTTTTTTTTTTTTTTTTTTTTTTTTTTTCCAGAGAAAAAACAGAGTCTCACTCCATTACCCAGCAGGCTGGAATGCAGTGGAATGATCCCAGCTCACTGCAGCCTCGTAGCCTCGGCCTCCTGGGCTCAATTGATCCTTCCACTTCAGCCTCCCAAGTAGGTGGGACTACAGGCACACATTACCACCCCTTGGTAATTATTATATTTTTTTGTAGAGACACAGTTTTACCATGTTGCCCAAGCTGGTTTTAAACTACTAGACTCAAGTGATTCATCCACATTGTTTGGATTACAGGTGTGAGCCACCATGTCTGGCTGCTGAAGTAGCTGTTTCTGTTTGTGGAAGTAGTTTTCTGCTATCATTTATTTTTAATGTCTTGTCCTTGGACTATATGAAGACGTTTATCACCTTAATTATTAGCATGATAGCTACCAAAAACTTAAAACATTAGCACAACAGAATAGAGATTTGAGAAATAGGCCTATACACATATGTAATTGGTATTTCAACCAAGATACAAAATAATCAAATGGAGAAAGTATAGTCGTTTCAACAAATTGTTCTGGAGCAACTGGAAATCCTATGTTAAAAAATAAAAGTACTTCAACCCATACCTTACCTTATATATGAAAATTAACACAAAATGGATCATAGCTCCAAATCTACAACTTTAAACCATAAAACACCTGAAGAAGGGCCAGGCACGGTGGCTTATGCCTGTAATCCCAACACTGGGAGGCCGAGGCCAGTGGATCACCTGAGGTCAGGAGTTCAAGATCAGCCTGGCCAACATGATGAAACCCCATCTTTACTAAAAATATAAAAATTAGCCAGGTGTGGTGGCAAGTGCCTATAATCCCAGCTACTCAGGAGGCTGAGGCAAGGGGAATCACTTGAATCTGGGAGGCAGAGGTTGTAGTGAGTCAAGATCGTGCCACTGCACCCCAACCTGGGTGACAGAGTGAGACTCTGTCTCAAAAAAAAAAAAAATCTAAAGAAAACAGGAGAAAATTTTTGTGACCTTGAGTTGGGCAAAAATTTATTGGATGCTATGCTTAAAGATGGATACAGACCAGGTTTGGTGGCTCATGCCTGTAAACCGAGCAATTTGGGAGGCCAAGACAGATGGATCACTTAAGCCCAGGAGTTCGAGACCAGCCTGGGCAACATGGCGAAACCCCGTCACTACAAAAAATACAGAAATTGGCTGGGCATGGTGACATACCACTCTAGTCCCAGTTACTCTGGAAGCTGAGTTGGGAGGATCGCTTGAACCCAAGAGGCAGAGGCTGTAATGAACTAAGATTCCACCACTGCACTCCAACCAGGGTGACAGAGCGAGATCCTACCTCAAAAAAAAAAAAAAAAAAAAAAAAAAGGCCGGGCACAGTGGCTCACACCTGTGATCCTAGCACTTTGGGAGGCCGAGGCGGGCAGATCACAAGGTCAGGAAATCGAGACAGACCATCCTGGCCAATATGGTAAAACCCTATTTTTACTAAAAATACAAAAATTTGCTGGGCGTGGTGGCGCAAGCCTGTAATCTCAGCTACTTGGAGACTGAGGCAGGAGAATCACTTGAACTGGGGAGTTGGAGGTTGCAGTGAGCTGAGATTGTGTCACTGCACTCCAGTCTGGACAGAGTGAGACTCTGTCTCAAAAAGTAAAGGATAAGTTTCAATTAGTTAATTAATTGTAAACTCTTAATAATATGGCTCTTAGCATAATTATTGTGGTGTATTCTAGAGAAGCTCTTAAAATTCTTTTCTAGCTTTCCCCTGCCTTCTCAGGAAAATTGAAGTTATATGAAGTCGCGTCTGTCATGGAGACAAGGCACCCTGCTCCTCAGCTCCTCACCACATCTCCTTTTTTACCCTACCTTTGGTTTCTCCATTCATGCATCACTGGCTTCCTGGCCTTGACTGCATCTCTTGGCTTCTTCCTTTTGGGCTTTGGCTCCTGCTACTGCATAATTATTTCTCCATCTTCCAAGTTAGGCTACTGAGAGAGAACCTGATTGGCCTAGATTATTTTTCCTTATTCTAGACCACTAAATAGATGTATTCAACCAGCAATATAGTCCAGTTATCATTGGCTAGGGGGTAGGGTGGATGGGGGCATAGGGCAATGTTTGGGAGGAGTCTAAGGGGAAAGGTATAGAATATTGGGAAGTGTAATGTGGACTGTACCATCAGCTGGCACCACCAGCAAGAGATAGAACCATGTGTGTGGTAAACAGCATAATATCCATAGTTGTTACAATGTAAAATGTTATTCCTATTTTCTTCTTCCAGAAACCATTGATAATCAAGCTGCCTTCCAGTTATGGCTCTCTTATTTTATTGCCCCCTCCTAAGTCAGTCCTTAACAGGTAGTGAGATAAGGCTTTAGAGAAGGAGCTTTTGCCTATTCTCTAGGCTAGAGGTAGAGATCTCAAGGTATGTGGGACCAGAGGATAGGATTGTGGATTAGTTGGAAGTTGTTATCAGAGGTCATTTGATAGGTCCTCTTGACTTTGGATGTAGCACCCAAACCATGCCTTTCAAATAAACAGTAGTCTATCTGTCCTCTTATACTTTCGTCTGTTCCTGTAAGCAATTCTCACAGCTGGTTTTTCATGACATTTGAGCCATTTTTTCCCTGATGGGCTTCACTGGTACTATAGGATTCATAATATCAATCCTATAATGGTCATGCTATTTGATTTTAGTGTGTCCTTTTTTCTTGCATGATGCTTCTTTTGCTATTTTTCTTGGCTTTTCATCTTTTGGTTTGTTGAGGTCCTTAAATCCTTATTGTCAAGTCCTAGAATCCTAGAGACAAAATGGACTTATGTTTATTTGGGTTTTTTTGGTCACATAGCTGGAGGGTCTGAGCTTGTGTTTGCTTTCTGCTACAAAAACTGGTACATCTAAGGCAGTCAGCTGCAGAATTTGGTTTGGCTAGTTAAAACGTCCATGGAGATGGAATATCATGCAGTCCAAGTAGGAAGATGTGAATAGGCCTATGAAGACAGGTTGCCTACCCAGGGCTTCTCAAACTTGAGAAATCACCTGGGCATCTAGTTAAAATGCAGATTTTGATTCAATAGGTCTAGGATATGGCCTAACATCTGAAAATCTGCATTTCAAAAAAGCTCCCAGGAAATGTTGATGTTGCTGGTCTGCAGACACACTTGGAGGATTAAGAACTGAAGAGTTTAATATTCCCAAACAGGCCTTGGTGAACAGAAGCGGCCTATATCGCTCCCCCTCCATGCCAGAGAACTTGAATAGGCTAAGACTGAAGCAGGTGGACAAAGGCAAGGACAACGCAATGCCAGATAAAGTTAAAAAAAAGTATTTTTCTGGCCAAGGAAAGCTCAGGAAGGTAAGAACTTTTTAAGATGAAAATCTGTTCATCTCATGTCTTTGCTTTTCTGGTGTGAGGATTGCTTTAGTATGCCTTTTTTGTCTTCCTCTTCTTTATGTTTACTTTTTCCTCTTCGTTCTTAACACCTTTCAGTCTTTTCTACATCTGTATCCACATGTGAAATACGTGTGTAACATAGATATATAAAGTATATCTATATTGTACTTTCAGAAATGTTGCCATCGGCTGGGTGTGGTGACTCAGGCCTGTAATCCTAGCACTTTGGGAAGCTAAGGCAGGGGGATTGCCTGAGCACAGGAGTTCAAGACCAGCCTGGGCAACACGGTGAAACCCTGTCTTACTAAAATACAAAACTCAGCTGAGCATGTGCCTGTAGTCCCAGCTATTTGGGAGGCTGAGGCAGGAAAATTGCTTGAACCCAGGAGGCGGAGGTTGCAGTGAGCCAAGATTGCGCAACTGCACTCCAGCCTGGGCAACAGAGCAAGACTCAGTCTCAAAAAAAAAAAAAAAGAAAAGAAATATTGTCATCATACTGTCTTCCCAACCCTTTTTCTTCAGATCTGAAAGAATATAAGGGAACTTTGGTATGGATATTTTACTGCTGTGTCATATGCAGTCTGAGAGAAATAACATCATATAGCAGATTGGTTTTGTGGAAAGCAACTTCCAAAAAAAGTTAGCCTTTGTTTTTTACCATCCCCAACTTTTAAAAAATTCTAAATAGATGGGAGGATCACTTAAGGCCAGAAATTCAAGACCAGCCTGGTCAACATAGGATGATCCCATCTCTAATAAAAAACAATAAAAGAAAAAAATTAAAATTCTAGATATCTTTGGATATTTTAGGAAATCAACATATTTATTTATTTATTTATTTTCTCCCGAGATGGGGTCTTACTCTGTCACGCAGGCTGGAGTGCAGTGGCATGATCTCGGCTTACTGCAGCCTCAACCTCCCGAGCTCAAGTGATCCTCCCACCTTAGCCCTCCAAGTAGCTGGGACTACAGGCATGTGCCACCACGCCTGGCTAATTTTTGTATTTTTTGTGGAGATGCATTTTTGCTATGTTTCCCAGGCTGGTCTTGAACTTTTGGGTTCAAGCAATCCTCTCACCTTGGCCTCCCAAAGTATTGGGATACCTGTTTATTTATTTATTATTTTAGAGGCAGAGTCTCCATCACCCAGGCTGGAGTGCAATGATGTGATCGTAGCTGACTACAGCCTTGGCCTCCTGGGCTCAAGTGATCCTCCCATGTCAGCCTCCCAAGTAGCTAGAATTACAGGTGTGAGCCACCATGCCCGCTCCATCCACTGGTTTTAAAACCTTTAACATGAGGATTGGGTGCGGGGTGGGAATCTTGTCATCTTCAGGGCTTACATTTAAAGAAGACAGTCTCTCTGTGTGACATTAATATCACTGAGATGCTGGAGGAAGATTCTAACCAGGACCATCTGATTGGTGATTTTTCCAAGGTGAGTTTGGTTACACCCATCCTGTATTTCAGTGAGTCATTTTGGATCTGAATCTTCTCTGTGTGCGTAGAATGCTCAGTGTAATTACACATCTTCACCAAGTACTCTTTGATAACCTGACAGTGCTCTAGTGGTAGATACAGGCCCTAAGTCTTTACAGTGAAAAAATATTTCTTATTCTCTGGGAAAATCCAGAACAAAGGGGAAAGTATGAGACTTTTACCTTTTTTCTATTTAAAAACATATTTTAAAATTATGTAAATAATACTTGGTTGTTACAGAAAAAAGTAGAAATGAAGAAATTTATCCAAGACTTTTTAACCAGGGTAATTATTGCTTGGTATATATTCTTTTTTTCCCCATTGCCTGTGTAATTGCAGAAGGTATATATTCTTACACATTTTTTTCTGTGTTTTTACAAACGCATATACAAAAAAAAAAGAGTTTTTGCTTTTCCACAAAAATAGTTTATATTGTTTTGTTATCTGTACTGTCATTTAATAATTATATCACGAGCATCTGAGCATCTTTTTTCTTTTTCTTTTCTTTTTTTTTTTTTTTTTTTTGAGATGGAGTCTTGCTCTGTCACCCGGGCTGGAGTGCAATGGTGTGATCCCAGCTCACTGCAACCTCCGCCTCCCGGTTCAAGTGATTCTTCTGCCTCAGCCTGCCAAGCAGCTGGGATTACAGGTGCGCACCACCATGCCCAACTAATTTTTTGTATTTTTGGTAGGAACAGGATTTCACCATATTGGCCGGGCTGGTCTTGAACCCCTGACCTTGTGATCTACCCTCCTTGGCCTCCCAAAGTGCTGGGATTACAGATTTGAGCTACCGCGCCCAGCCTCTTTTTTCATATTAATAAGCAGTTATGCTTCATCCTTTCTTTCTTTTTTAAGAGTCAAGGTCGTGCTCTTTTGCCCAGGCTAAGTACATTGGCATGATCATAGCTCACTTCAGCCTCAAGCTCCTGGCCTCAAGAAGTTCTCTCTCTCCTTGGCCTCCCAGAGCACTGGGATTGCAGCCATGCCCAGCCCATTTCATCATTTTAAATATTTCCATATTATTTCATTGTTTTGGCTGCTCATAATTTTTTCATAAATCCCTTCTTGTAAGATATTTAGTTTTACAATTTTTTTCTTATGAATGATACCAAGATGAACATATCTGTAGAGAAATCTACAACTTTGTACACATCTTTGATGAGTTCTTTAGGATTAGAAATAGACTTGATATATATGCGCTTTATAGAGACCACTGATTTTTTTGAAGGCCTCTGAGGTTTTAAGAGTCATTTGGAGGCCGGGCGCGGTGGCTCAAGCCTGTAATCCCAGCACTTTGGGAGGCCGAGGCGGGTGGATCACGAGGTCAAGAGATCGAGACCATCCTGGTCAACATAGTGAAACCCCGTCTCTACTAAAAATACAAAAAATTAGCTGGGCATGGTGGCACGTGCCTGTAATCCCAGCTACTCAGGAGGCTGAGGCAGGAGAATTGCCTGAACCCAGGGGGCGGAGGTTGCGGTGAGCCGAGATCGCGCCATTGCACTCCAGCCTGGGTAACAGGAGCGAAACTCCGTCTCAAAAAAAAAAAAAAAAAAAAAAAAAAAAAAGAGTCATTTGGAAAGGAGGACAAAATGAGGGTCTTTGATCTCAAAATTGGGTGTGTAATACTTGCTGTTATTTCAGCTCTCGTGTATTTCTAGGTATGTGCACTGCCAACCGTGTCAGGGAAACACCAAGATCTGAAGTATGTCAACCCAGAAACAGTAAGCAGATTTCTGGAGATGGTAACTGGTTACATAAGCTACCATCTGGTCTGTTCTGTCCCTAAAATTCCCATTTCCATTTGTATTTCTTTCACTGTGTTCACTCACATAGGCTTCTTATTCAACTGAAGCTATATTAAAGGACTCCTTTTTCTCCCCGCTCTTCTTTCTCCTTCATTTTTAGTTAAACAAATGATACATAATTATTGTAAAAAGAAAAAAGGGAGGGGGTCAGGTGTGGTGGCTCACGCCTATAATCCCAGCACTTTGGGAGGCCAAAGCAGGCGGATCACTTGAGGTCAGGAGTTCGAGACCACCCTAGCCAACATGACAGAACTCCATGTCTACTAAAAAGAAAAAAATTAGCCGGGCATGGTAGTGTGCACCTGTAATCCCAGCTAATCAGGAGACTGAGGCAGGAGAATCACTTGAACCTGGGAAGTGGAGGTCACGGTGAGCCAAGATTGTGCCATTGCACTCCAGCCTGGGCAGCAAGAGTGAAACTCCATCTCAAAAAAAAGAAAAAGAAAAAAAGAAAAACAGAAATGGTATCATGATGAACATTTAGTATTGAAATTTGCTTAGTAAGACACAGATATCTTTCTGTATCAATAATAAGACATCTATATCATCATTTTAATGCCTATATAATGCTCTATTCTACTGGCATGTACAATTTATTTTACCAACCCCCTATTATTGAATATTGAAGTTATTTCTAATATTTTGATAATATAAAACAATGCTGAGATTAATCTCATTGTGCCTACGTTTTTGTGTACTTTTCCTGTTTACTTAAGATGTTAGAAATTGCTGGGTCAAAGCATAATTACATTTATTTGTTTATGCATTTACAAAGTTCCCTCCAGAAAAGCTGAACCAATTTACACTTTTACAAGTTGCTTCAGTTTCTTCCTCTAGGTATAAACCTTTTCCTTCCATAGCCTTTCCTCAAAGACTTACTTTCTTCCTTTATGATGGTGGGTAGGGAACCATTTTGCATCTCTTCCTGCAATTTTGAGATCTCTAGCTGCTACCTCTGCCACCGCAGAAGTCCTTGGACGTCTCCTGAGAGGCTGATTCCAGCCATGCCTGACCCTAGAGGGGTAGCCTGAATATGGTTTTCCTTCCATGGTATCTTGGCAATGCCAGGTATTTTGGTTCTCTAAAAGGGCCACTTCCTGTTGTATTCTCTTTTGTGGGTAGGGCTGAACCACTGTCACATGTCAAATATGGGATGACTTTGGAGGCTGGACATACAGTGGAATCCCAGGTGACTAACAGGAATATGCTAGTAAGGAACTGTGTCATTGGCCCCTCTCTCCCTCAGAGTGGCAGTGAGCGGAGTATTCAGTCATTGTTTCTGTGCAGGTGGCTGCCTTACTGTTGGGGAAGTTCCAGGGTCTGATTGAGAAGTTTTATGTCATTGATTGTCGCTATCCATATGAGTACCTGGGAGGACACATCCAGGTGAGACCACATTCTGGCCATTAGTAGGGGAGGGCTGGAGGTAGCTCTTTATTGAGAAGAGTCTGTGGACAAAGGGGCTTATGAACTCTAGAATTGGGACAAATATTACATATTTGAAGCACATCAAGGCTGAGGTCCTCCTTGTTTTAATTCTGTATACCTTAAGCAGCTTACTTTCCCTTTCTCTCTTAGATCCAATATCTCTCTTTTCTGTAGGAGCCAAGGGCTCCTACCTAGAAATAAAAACATTAATCCAAGGCCTGAAGCACTTTGCAAACACTATTCATGAACATTCCTCGCAGTGATCCCTGTTCTTCCAGTGATTCAGGTCTGTGAACATTTATTGAGCATCTACTACATACCAACCTCTGTGCCAGGCATTCAGGGTATATACAGAGATATACTTAGACTCCTGCCCTGAGGATGCTTATAATCCAGCTTTTCTGGTCCAAATATCCCAGGTTGGTATCCCAGTCATTTCTAAGTAATGGCACTGTCCATAAACCCTTGAGGAAATGCTTATTAAAATTATTTTTCTGCTGGGCACGGTGGCTCAAGCCTGTAATCCCAGCACTTTGGGAGGCCAAGGTGGGTGGATCACAAGGTCAAGAAATCGAGACCATCCTGGTCAACATGGTGAAACCCCATCTCTACTAAAAATACAAAAAATTAGCTGGGCATGGTGGCGTGTGCCTGTAATCCCAGCTACTCAGGAGGCTGAGGCAGGAGAATTGCCTGAGCCCAGGAGGCGGAGGTTGCGGTGAGCCGAGATGGCGCCATTGCACTCCAGCCTGGGTAACAAGAGCGAAACTCCTGTCTCAAAAAAAAAAAAAAATTTATTTTTCTACAGGGAGCCTTAAACTTGTATAGTCAGGAAGAACTATTTAACTTCTTTCTAAAGAAGCCCATTGTCCCTTTGGACACCCAGAAGAGAATAATCATCGTGTTCCACTGTGAATTCTCCTCAGAGAGGGGCCCCCGAATGTGAGTGTCTAAATGGGGTAGGGCGGGTGATGGAAATGGATTTTGAGTTGGACTTCCCAGACCAGTTCAGACGGAGACTGACTGGATTCTATAGTTTGAAGAATGTTAGGGAGGTTGAAGGAAGACATTCTAAAATTCAAAAGTTTGGAGCAATAAAGGAAAAGGGATTGAGAATGAGGCCACAGTAGAGGAAAGGAGGAAGGGTGGTGGTACTTGGACCTTGTTTTGCAAACACAGTGAGATTAGAAGGTCCTGTTTGGGGTTAGCAGGATCCCAGTGAATGGCCCCTGGAATCTTGACCTTCTTTCCACCCCACCCATCTCTGGGTTCTCTCTAAAGGTGCCGTTCTCTGCGAGAAGAGGACAGATCTCTGAACCAGTATCCTGCATTGTACTACCCAGAGCTATATATCCTTAAAGGTGGCTACAGAGACTTCTTTCCAGAATATACGGTAAAGAGTGGGGCATGCGGGGAGCCAACTTTAGCACCCAATTCTCAGGGCCTGCAAAGCCCTCAGAGAAGAAACTGCTGCTCCTCCTTAACCACTGCCAGCAACAGCATCTCTACTAGGCAGAGTTTAGGAGTCTAGAGATACCTTACTCTGTCCCTTACCTTTCAGGAGCTGTGTGAACCACAGAGCTATTGCCCTATGCATCACCAGGACCATAAGGCTGAGTTGCTGAGGTGTCGAAGCCAGAGCAAAATGCAGGAAGGGGAGCGGCAGCTGCGAGAGCAAATTGCCCTTCTGGTGAAGGACATGAGCCCATGGTAACAGACCAGCCACTGGCTGCTAACAGGTCATCCAAAGACACCGCAGAAACCCTGAGCAGAAAGAGGCCTTCTGAACGGCCAAACCCAAGTTTGTTAAAAGATGTCTGTAAACTAACAGGCTGCCAACCTGTTGAAATGCGAGGCCTGGGAATGGATAAGGTTTCAGCTTGCTGAAACCTGGTGACAGAGTTCTGGAGCTAGCTCTATACGGCAGCCTTGAGTTGCATCGAGATTTGTGTTGGTTCAGGGAACTCTGACATTCCTCTTCCATACTCCTCATGTCTTCTCACAAGCCAGCCTACTCTTTCTCTCTCTGGGCTTCTGGCTATTCAAAAGTTATCTTCCTTCTTTCTTTGTATTTTCCTTCATTGTTTCCCCCTCTCCCTTTTTTAAAAATGGAAAAATAAACACTGCAGAGTGAGAGATATGATTGTGAGCCTAGCCTGCTCCTAGAAGAGCTGTATATGGAGATCACCAAGTTAGACTCCTTCATACATACCATCTTTATTCATAGCTGGGGCCAAAATGCTTCTCTCCAAACCAGTAATTCTTAAGCTGGGTGTGGTGGCTCATACCTGTAATCCTAACACTTTGGGAGGCCAAGGCAGGTGGATCACTTGAGGTCATGAGTTCGAGGCCAGCGTGGCCAACGCGGTGAGACCCCCATCTCTACTAAAAATATAAACATTAGCTGGGCATGATGGTGTATGCCTGCAGTCCCTGCTACTCAGGAGGCTGAGACAGGAGAATCACTTGAACTCAGGAGGTGAAGGTTGCAGTGAGCTGAGATCACACCATTGTACTCCAGCCTAGGCGACAGAGCAAGACTGTCTCAAAACAAAACAAAACAAAAAAACAGTAATTCTCAAAGTTTGGACCCTGGACCATCAACATCATCTGAACTTGTTTGAAATATAGATGTTCAGCTGTATGGACAATCTGGCTGCAACATCTGTCACCCCATGATCGCTGGGGTTGAAATATAGATGTTCAGGCCTCACCTCAGTCCTCTTAAATCAGAACTTCTGAGGTTAGGGCTCAGAAATCTGGGTTTTAAAAATCTCCCTTTTCAGTTGATTTGAATACATGCTAAGGCTTAAGAACCAGTGCTCTGGGTATCCCAGCACTTTGGGAGGCCAAGGTGGGCGGATCACTTGAGGTCAGAAGTTTGAGACCAGCCTGGTGAAATCCCATCTCTACTTAAAAAAAAAAAAAAATGCAAAAATTAACCAGGCTTGGCACATAACTGTAATTCCAGCTACTAGGGTGACGGAGGCAGGATAATCACTTGAACTAGGGAGACAGTGGTTGCAGTGAGCCAAAATCCACTGCACTCCAGCCTGGGCAACAGAGTAAATTCCATCTCAAAAGGAAAAAAAAGAATCAATGCTCTGGAATTAAGGTAAGTCTTTCAAACCGTGTTCTTCAGCAATGTCCTAGGCTTTCCTTTTCTAGATCATTCCATGGTATGAGTTACTAAAAGTGCCCCACAGACTCAGCAGCATGTGGTATCTAGGCATTCTCTAAGGCAGATGACAAATCTCAGTTGGACTCAAAGGTACCCTATCAGCAGTGGCTCACGCCTGTTATCCCAGCACTTTGGGAGGATGAGGCTGTCAGGAGTTTGAGACCACCCTGGTGAACATGGCAAAACTCCATCTCTACTAAATATACAAAAAATAGTCAGGCCTGGTGGCGGGCGCCTGTAATCCCAGCTACTTGGGAGACTGAGGCAGGAGAATCCCTTGATCTTGGGAGGCAGAGGTTGCAGTGAGCAAGATCATGCCACTGCACTCCAGCCTGGGCAGCAGAGTGAGACTCCATCTCAAAAAAAAAAAAAAAAAAAAAAAAAAAAAAAAAAAAAAAGTTCCATATATATGGCTTCAGGAGGATTTTGACTTTTCTCCACTCCATTTCACATCTCACAAAGGCAAGTTAGATTTAGAATGGTTGGAAGTAGAGATTTGTGATATATGAAGATAGGAATAAAACAAAGCAAGATCTGTTAGACTTCAGGAAGATTTTTAAACTGTATTCTTCAGCAGTATTCCAGGGTTTCCTTTCTTGGCACTTTTTAGTATGAATAGGCTTTTATCTGCAGTGAGGTGTGGCCCTACTTGGTCTTGGGTGGCAGTGGAATTGACTGAACATTGTCATTCTCTAGTAGTATTAACCTAGTAGTACTGATAGCCCAGGACTGAAAAGGACAAAGCCCCCTACAGCCTCGGCTGAGATAAAATAAAGACAAATATACTATCTTCCCAGGTTTTGGAACAGAGAGACTTTTTAAAAGTGAGTGGGAGGGAAGGGGAGTTGTAGCCATAGGGCAGCCCACGCATGTGCCTGAGTGGCTGGACTGGTTTTTTAATTTTTTTATTTGGCAAGGTTTGCACATGCTCTTGCCCTAGAGTGCTGCGTGCATGCTTCGCAGCAGAGGGCACTGCTGTATTCTCCAAGCCATTCGGCTGAAGCCTGTAGCATTCACTCCTAGCTACTGCCTGTCTAAAAAAGGAAGCTGCCTCCGTGGCCTTCTCCCTAAACCCTTGAGCTCACAGCCCAGAAGGTCTTGGGAAAAGAGGAAAGCTGCTGCTACATTAAGTGGAGATGGCCAAAGGAAAGATGCTGCTCCTCCGCCCCACCCACACGTGCCCCTGTAGGAATTCCAAGTTCCAACATGGGAAGAGATTGATGTACATGTGCCCACGTGTTAGTAGTCTTAAGTGGAAATTGTGAGTTGTAAAACAAAAAACTAAGGCTTCTTTATGGAAAACTGTATTTTCCCCAAAGTCAACATTTTTTGGTATGATTTTTTAGAGACAGGGTCTCGCTATGTTGCCCAGGCTGGAGTGCAGTGGCTATTCACAAGCGCGATCCCACTACTGATCAGCACGGGAGTTTTGTACTGCTCCGTTTCTGACCTGGGCCGGTTCACGCCTCTTTAGGCAACCTGGTGGTCCCCCGCTCTCAAGAGGTCACCATATTGATGCAGGCACACCCGATCGGCATAGCGCACTACAGCCCAGAACTCCTGGGCCTCAAGTGATCCTCCCACCTCAGCCTCTCGAGTAGCTGGGATTACAGGCACGCGCCACCGCACCTGGCAGTATGATTTTTTATAATATCCTCTCACTGTATAGGGACTATATGATTTGATTCATGTTATTGTCAGGAATAACAATAGTAGCTGACATTTTTCAGGTGCTTACTACATACAAGACTATCTCTAAACTCATATATATATATACACACTGATTTAATTTTCACAACAAGCCCATGAGACAGGTACTCATTATTATGTGCATTTCTTTATGAAGATAAATTAAGGAACAGAGGGATTAAGTAACTTTTTTTTTTTTTGAGATAGGATCTCACTTGTTGCCAAGGCTAGAGTGTAGTGGCATGGTCTCAGCTCACTGCAACCTCCATCTCTGACACTCAGGCAATCCTCTCACCTCTGCATCCTGAGTAGCTGGGATCACAGGCATGTGCCACCATGCCTGGATAATATAATTTTTGTATGTTTTTTTTCTAATTTTTTTTTTTTTGAGATGAAGTCTTGATTTGGCTTACTACAACTTCCACCTCCTGGGTTCAAGCAATTCTCCTGCCTCAGCCTCCCAAGTAGTTGGGACTCCAGGCGCATGACATCATGCCTGGCTGATTTTTTGTATTTTTAGTAGAGATGGGGTTTCACCCTGTTAGCTGGGATGGTCTCTCTGACCTTGCGATCCACCTGCTGCAGCCTCCCAAAGTGCCGGGATTATAAGTGTGAGCCACCATGCCTGGCCTTTTTTTTTTTTTTCCTTTTTTTTTTTTTTTTTTTTTTTTTTTTGTAGAGATGGGGTTTTGCCATGTTGCCCAGGCTGGTCTCGAAATCCTGGGCTCAAGTTATTTGCCCACCTTGACCTCCCAAAGTGCTGAGATTACAGGCATGAGCCACTTCACCCAGCCAAGTAACTTATTTAAGATCACAGAGCTAATTAATGGTGGAGTAGGGATTTGACCCAAGACAGTATGGCTCCAGAGCCTGTCCACTTCATGGATTTTGCTGTTACCAAAACTTCATCAAAGAACAGTATGCCAAAGCAGGTGCAGTGGCTCATGTCTGTAATCCTAGCACTTTAAGAGGCCAAAGTGGGAGGATCCCTTGAGACCAGGAGTTTAAGACCAGCCTGGACAACATAGCATCTCTATAGAATAAGAATAAACTTAGCTGCGGCCAGGCACAGTGGATGATGCCTGTAATCCCAGCACTTTGGGAGGCTGAGGCAGGTGGATCACGAGGTCAGGAGTTCAAAACCAGCCTGGCCAACATAGTGAAACACTGTCCCTACTAAAAATATTTTAAAAATTAGCCACATGTGGTGTCCCATGCTTGTAATCCCAGCTATTTGGGAGGCTGAGGCAGGAGAATTGCTTGAACCTGGGAGGCAGAGGTTGCAGTGAGCCGAGACCATGCCATTGCATTCCAGCCTGGGTGAGAGACTCCGTTTCAAAAGAAAAAATAATAAACTTAGCTGGGCATGGTGGTGTGCACTTGTAGCTACTTGGGGAGCTCAGACAGGAGAATGGCTTGAGCCCAGGAGGTTGAGGTTGCATTGAGCTATGATCCAGCCACTGTACTCTAGCCTGGATAACAGCAAGACCCTGTCAAAAAAAAAAAAAGTATGCCTTTCCAGAGTTGGCACTGCTTTTTTTACTGTTTTGGGTGTTAAATCTATAAGCGCCTCAATGATAAGTTCTTGAAAATCTGGGGCCGTAAGGGTTGCTTGGACTTGAGAGATAAAGAGCAGACACTAAAACCCCAGCCTAGAGACCTCAGTATGAGGCTGGCTGTGTAGGGGGTGTGCTCAGCATTGGTGCCCTTGCACTGACTGGTATTTATTCAGCAGGAAGGCAACATAGAACAGAAATCTTTTGATCTAAAAACTGCTTCTCCAGGCCAGGTGCAGTGACTCATGCCTGTAATCTCAGCACTTTGGGAGGTCAAGGAGGGTGGATCACCTGAGGTCAAGAGTTTGAGACCAGCCTGGGCAATATTGTGAGACCTCCATCTCTACAGAAAATTTAAGAAATTAGCCAGGCACAGTGGCACATGTCTGCAGG